GGAGATAGATCACCAGGCCTTCCTTCCAAGTAACCTCTGAGTGGATTCAAACCTCCAACTTTCTGGTTAGCAGCCAAGTGCATTAACCATTTCACCACCCGGGGACAATGTAATCGCATGAGCCCTTAAAAGCAGCACTTTCTCCCAGCTGAGAGAAGAGGAAAATGGACACACTTGAAGTATGAGAAGGATTTGAGGTCCTGTTGCTGGTTTGAATATGCAGGAGACCAAAACATGAGAAGAAAATGAATTTTCCCAAGATTCTGAATGAGCTTGGAAATGGATCCTTCCCAAAAGCCTCCAGTAAGAAACATGGCTCCACGGACACCTTGCTTTTGGCGTTGGGAACCCTGAGCAGAGAATCCAGTTGAGCCTGCCTCAGTCTAACCCATGGCACTGTAAGATAAACCCTGGGCATGGTTCTGAGCCACTAGGTTTGTGGTGATGTGTCAGCGGTAACAGAAAACAAGCACAGTTAAGGAAACATCTGGCACAACCTGGCCCACACGCCCACCTTGAAAATATTGACTAGGCTTGAGCGGAGATGCCAGCGTAAGGTTGTTCATGAGGTCTTGGCTGAGCATGCCCCTGGCCAGACTCACTCATGTGGGTCACCTGCCCGCTCTTTGACTTGCTAACACCTGTCCTAAATTGACATGGAGTGACTAGTGTTTCCAAACCAGCAATCGGAGGAATGTTCTCAGGTTTCCTGTGGTTTTTTTTTTTTTTTTCATCTTATAAAAGGGGTCAAAATATTTCTCAGGTTTGTGAAACTGGCTTTCATTCTTCTCTTTTCCACATTTCTATTTCTCCACTTTGCCTCTTCAGCAAGGACTATCCGAACATTTTTAATTTTCTATAAGAAACTTTGCCTAAATACAAACACAGAATCCTTATTTTATTTTACCCTGTGGGGTCAGAAGCAACAAAATTTCAGGTCCAGAGGGGAACTTCTGGGCAACATGAAATTAACAACAGAAAGACCAAGGGGAAAAAAAAATCAATTACATGGAAACTGAATAACGCCCTGCTTACAAACCACTGGGTAATAGAAGAAATCAGAGATGGAATAAAAAAAATTCCTAGAATCAAATGAGAATGAAAACACATCATACCAAAACCTTTGGGACACAGCAAACACAGTCCTCAGAGGACAATTTATAGCAATAGATG